GAACGGAAAGTATCAAATTTCAATTTACTAAGGACCATAAATGTTTAATTTTATATTTCTTGGTGTAATATCAAATCATGCTTTCACAATTAAACTCCTTCCACCATTAAAACCAAATTATCTATTAATTTCTTTTAAAATAAAACTCTTTTTTTAACATTAATATTATAGAGTAGTATCATTAGGTTTATTTCAATCACTTTGAAAAAAAATGTATAAAAACTATTTAAAATTTCTATTGTATTTTTGTAATCTTTACAAAGTTAATAATGCTTGAGACAAAAATTAGCCTCTTTAAACAATTATTTACTATTGTCTTTTTTGATAATTAATTTTTGAGTTTCTTTGTTTGTTGATTGTGCAAAAAAGTACAGGGAATGAAATCTTAATAGGTATGACAACGAATGCTTTTGTTAGGAATAGTTAAACTCTACCATAAATAATGCCCAGTTATTTACTTAAATTACTAACGAAATAATATTCCATAAAATAATAAAGTAGAAGTAATATAAAAAAGATAAGGAGAAACAACTACAGAGCGTATGCATACACAACGCTTATAAAGTATGTATGTATGCTTTTTTATGGATAAATGCTAACAAATATGTAGAATGCATCTATTCAGCTTTCCTGGATTAAAGTGCTCGATTAATGGTTACATGGTATGTAGTACTATATATATAAAATGTTGTTAAATTTACAATTTTTGAATTTCAGTGGCAGCAGCAACTACATGACGAGCAGAAATGCCGAACATATCAATGAGAACAGTGGGTGGACCAGAGCGGGGCACTGTGGGTACAAACAAATGTTTGACCACAAAGTCACGTTTATCAGCCAAAGCTGAGAGGACAGCTTCACCCAAACCACCTTGTCTGTAAGGGAGAAAAAAAGTTATTAAAATTCCTTTCATAAAAATATTGTATATAAAAATATACTTACTGGTAATGATCTTCTACGACAACAATACGGCCACCACAGGCACGACCATTTTCAACAATCAAATCAACATCCAAAGGCTTAACAGTGAATGGATCAATGACACGAGCATTAATGCCGGCCTTTTCCAATTCAGCAGCAGCATTCAAACATTCGTACAAAGTAATACCAGCGCCAATCAACAAAACATGATCATTAGCCGATTGCTTAACAACCTTGCCTTTGCCAATAACGAAGGGTTCATTGTTGTCGTACAATACGGCAGTGTTGGGACGAGAGGTACGAATGAAACAAACACCCTTTTTGTTGGCAGCCAATTCAACGGCACGTTCACAACTGACAGCATCAGAAGGATAGAATACAGTACTGCCGGGAATGGTACGGAACATGGCAACATCTTCCAAACCCATCTGAGAGGGACCATCTTCACCAATACTGACACCACAGTGAGAACCAGCGAAATTGACATTGGTTTGAGAAATAGCGCCCATACGAATTTGATCGAAAGCACGTGTAAAGAATGTGGCAAAGGTAGAGGCGAAAGCAATAGTACGATCACGGCAAGCGGCACCAATGGCAACACCCACCAAATTCTGTTCAGCAATGAAACATTCAATATAACGTTCAGGGAAGGCCTTCTTCAATTTCTCAGAGAAGGTAGAGTTCTTGGTATCACCATCCAAGGCAATAACACGATCATTGTTTTGAGCCAACTTAGCCAAAGCATTACCATAGGCCAAACGGGTGGCAACTTGTTCACCCAACTTGTAGGCTGGTGGCGAAGACAATTGTACGTTGGTAATATCAACAGCAGGAGCGGGCTTGCTCTTAGTGGGAGTTTGAGGAGCCAAAGCGGCTGGTCGAGGGCTAGAATCGATCATTAGACCTTGCAAGTGCTTGATGACTTCATTGGCCTTATCGCCCAAGGGTTTGCCGTGCCAATTTTCCAAATCTTCAATGTTAGGGAAGAATTTACCCTTATAAGTCTTAGCAATAATGGCAGTAGGTTGATTTTTAGTATTGGCAGCCTCATGGAAAGCCTTGCACAATTCTTCAACATCATGACCATCAACAACTAAAGCATTAAAACCGAAAGCTTCCAAACGTTTGCGGTAAACATCCATTTGATGTTGCAATGAGGTAGGTTCAGATTGACCCAAACGATTGACATCGAAGATCACACACAAATTGTCCAATTTGTAGTATCCAGCGAAATGTAGAGATTCCCAGATCGAACCTTCAGCAGATTCACCATCACCGACCAAAACGTAAGTTCTGCAAGTGTGTGAGAAATTATTATAAAAGTTGAGTGGGGGCGGGTGTGTAAGTACTTTAAAGTACAAAGATCTTATAAACTTTGCTTTCTCAAATGGTATTTAAAAACAAATAATTTTAATTATTTTTCAAAAATATACCATTTCAAAAAGTACTTTTTTCAAAATAGTACTAATTTAGAAAAAATGCCTTAAATAATAAATTTCTTCACAAAACAAAAGTACAATTTTGAAAAAGTACAAAAATTAACATTTTCTGATGGATTTTCAGAAATTTATAATTGTAAGTTTTTGTGAATTTCAAAATTTCACAGAATTTCAATTATATATCTAAAGAATTTTATTTCGAAACTTACCTGTAATCGGCCTTATCGAAATTCTTGCCAACATAAGCCATACCGGCGGCAACAGCAACACCTTGACCCAAAGAGCCAGTACCAACATCAATGAAATTCAAACGGGGTGTGGGATGGCCTTCCAAATCGGAATCAATTTTACGTAACTTTTGCAATTCCTCAACGGGGAAAAGACCAGCTTCAGCCCAGGCAGCATATAAAATGGGAGCAGCATGACCCTTAGACAAAACGAAACGATCGCTAGAGGGATCACGAGGGAATTTCAAATTCAAACGCATGGTATTGAAGAACAATACCGACATAATTTCGGCAATAGAGGCACATGATGTAGGATGGCTAAAAACAAATTGTAAAAAGATAAATAATATTAGTAAATTTATTGGCTTATAATTAATTAAAAGTTTTTTTTAACAATATTTTTTATTTCATAATTTGAAAATATATTTATATCATGTCTAAAAATATGTGTTTTTTTTTAAGCGATCACTATTGTTATCGAATTGTTTATCTTCTCTTTTACACTCAAAGAATAGATGTTAGTATTAGTTGCTCTCACACGTGGTCTCACGAAACAAAGAGTGGGGGCTTGTCTTTTTTCCACTTATGCGCTCTACTACATACTTTTTTAATGTGTTTGTCTATACTCCCCTGTATGCTCACATCTTTTTGTTTATACATTTTTATCTTTTGATTATTTTCAAGAAATAAATTTCTGTCTAGCCGGCTGCCGGTCTCACAGTATGCAAAAAAAATCTTAATTAATGTGCGTATACAGCAAATATTCACAACATGTTTAATATGAATATCATGTACGTTTTAAAAAGAGAACTTGTTTGCTTTTTTTAAATTTATACACTAGCCACAATTTTGCGGAAAAAGATCGGTTAGGGCCTTTTTATTTTTTTTTTGTAAAGAGCACATGTTTCCTTTATTGCGTCTAACCGATTTTTAGTGTTATCATTGAGGTTGGTTTGCGTATTGATAAAGTAACGCAAATTGTTTAAATTATAAAATACGAACAAAACAAACTAATGTGAATTTTTAATATACAATTAAATGGCGATAACCTACATTAATAATTTAAGGCAATATTTATACCTAGTTCATTTTTGGAGAGGTGTGTCTAGTATGTAAATTTTATTATATTGATTATGTATTTGTTTCCGCATTAATTAAAAACATAATTAGGCTTTTTTATCTGTAAAATTAAAATTTCACTAAATTAACTTTGAAAATTTTGAATATGCGAAAACTTGATTTTCAAATGTTGCTACTTTTATAATTAGATAGACATAAAAAGTGACTTGACAACTATTATAAAGGGATTATAGTATTATTCTCTACTAGATTTTGATGAAAATTAGTTTTTAAAGAAAAAATATTCAGCAACAATTTCTGAGCTTTTATTTATCTGATGACCCCATATATTTTACGGTTCAAATCTTCAATAATTCTATCAGACAGGGATTATAGTATTACTAGCTATACCCAGTGTGCTTTGCTACCCTAAAAGCAAAATAAATAAAAAATCTTCTTATTAATTTTGAAGATTCTAACTGTAATGTTTTCCAGAGATACATTTTTTCCGAACGTTAATTAAGATTTTAATGTAATCGATGACAAATTAAAAAAAATCTAATATTTTCCCAGATATACGAAATTTTGTATTTAATTCATATAGGCGGTGCCAAGACCCCATTGAAAGTCCGCCCGTTATTCTCTAAATGTTCACATTAATGTCAATGAATTTCATGTAGAGTTTGAAGCTCTAATAGTTTCTCAGATATACGAATTTTTCTATTTAATTCATATGGGAACTCACAGCCCCCAAATAAAAGTCCGCCCTTTTTTCTCCAAAATGTTGATATGTATAATAAAGTTCTTCTTGCAATATTTGAAGAATCTTGTTCTATTAGTTTCCCAGATAAGCGAAATTTTGTATTTAATTCATATGTGAGGTGTCGAGCCCCCCATTGAAAGTCCGCCCGTTATTCTCTGAATGTTCACATGAATGTTAAAGTTCATCAATTAAAATTTGAAGATTCTAGCTCTAATAGTTTCTCAGATATAATAATTTTCCTATTTAATTTATATGGGGGCTCCAAGCACCACCCCCCCTGACGAAAGTCCGCTCTTTTTTCTCCAAAATGTTCAGATGAATATTTAAGTTCTTAGTGCAAAATTTGAAGAATTTAGTTCTATTAGTTTCCCAGATAAACCAATTTTTGTCTTTTATTAATATGGGAGGTGCTGCTCCCCTCATGGGTAGTCCGCCAATTTATTTCCCAAAATGTTTACATGGATGTTAAGGTTACTCGTTAATATTCTAACTTTAATAGTTTCCAAGATAAACGAATTTTTGTATTTAATTTATATGGGAGGGGCCACGCCCCCTAATGCTAATCCGCCCATTTTTTTGTCTTAAATAATTATATTGATACTAAAGTTGCTCCGACAAAATTTGAAGACTCTAACTATTATATTATCTCAGATATACTAATTTAATATTTTTTTAATATGGGCGTGGCACGTCGCCCGCATGAAATTTCAACATAAAAAGTAGCCTATAGTTCCTTCCAGACATACAGGAAGAAACTGTGAAAATTTCAGGAAAATCGGTCCAGCCGTTTAGCAGTCTATAAAGCACAAACAAACAAACAAACAAACAAACATACATACATACATACATACATACATACAAACACACTTTCATTTTTATATATATATATATATAGATTCTCTCCTAGATTTTGATGAAAATTAGTTTTTAAAGAAAAAATATTCAGCAACAATGTCTGCGCTTTTATTTATCCGAAGACCCCATATATTTTACGGTTTAAATCTTCAATAATTCTATCAGACGAGGAGTTTTCTATTGAAATTAAAAAAAATTGGTCTATGAATATGAGCAAAATTGGAAAAAAAAAGCATGATTTGGTCTAAAATATTTATTAAATATGGAAACCAAAAGATCTTTCTTTATATATAGGTACATTATGTCTAGATGTTCCAGATTTATCCGAAAATGTGGTCAAAAATATGAATTTTTAAGGATTTGACTCATATCTTAATCATTTAGGCACAAAATGTGGATTTTTTTGTAAAAATTTAAAAAAAAGTCGAAAAATTTTTCAAAATTTTCAAAAAATTTGAAAATATTAAAGTATATACATAGTGAATGATATATAAAATTCTGAATATTTACTTTTTTAATGCAATATTACTAAAATCTTATAAATTAATATAAAATCATGTTGAATTGATGTTCTATTTCATCATTTCTTTTTATCTTATAGTACAAATTTTAATTGAAGCCTAAGAAAAAAAAAATCTTAAAAATGATTAACATTTTACACAGAGTGTAAAATACACAGCACCCATTATTATTGGGTAATTGCATACGTACGTTTTTAGTAAATTAATGAATGTCCAAATGAAACGTAATCATAAATTAACATATTATGTAGGTATGTACTTTTTTATTTTAATGCATTCGTTTTATAATAACAAAAAAACTGTTGCTAAATGACAAAAATTCTCTTATCATTTGCAAATAAAAAGGTAATAGAGAAATAATACAAATTGCAATGATTGGTTTAATGAAATCAGGCGATAATAATTTTAATAATAGTGTGAGCCTAGAAATTGCATTTAGTTAGAAATTGTTGCAATGTTTTTTTGATAATAAATTCCAAAAAAAAAAAGAATTAATATTTTTTTTTAATAAATATCTTTAAGTAGTAATTGAAAATTTGGATCAGTTTGTAAGACTCTCTATTGGAATAATGCAAGGTCCAAGTTATACATACATATATATTTAGATTATTTTGATGTTGGTTAATCAATTTAGAAGAGAATAATACAACGTCCATTAAGGGCCAAACTTTATGTGAAAGACTAGCGATTAAATTAAAATTAATCCTCGAAAGTTGTTTTTGAATACTCAATTAGTTAATTTTGTTTGCAAGTTTAAGCGCCCAATGGAGGTGGTTTAAACTTAAGCATGAAATGCAAAAGTCTAAACAGCTGATGCAAAAAAATTAATAAAATTTTTATAAGTATAAACATTAAAATGTTCTATTTATTGATTAGTATAAATTATGGTCACTTCAAAATACATTTTTTGTTTTAAATTTAAGTTTTCATTAATTTTCATATTAAATTTACAATTGTCTTCTTCTTTTCTTTTTTTTTTTTTTTGGTTTGATAACAAACAGTGACGTTTTCTGTTGTTTTGTAAGGCAACACTGCGAAATTCAGATTGAATTTGTTTTTAGATTAACTAATCTTATTATTAATTGGCATTTGATTGCCAACTCAAAAACCCGCTCTAAGTAATATAAAATACCTATAATTCGATTATTTTGATGTTGGTTAATCAATTTAGAATGCCGATTAGAAATTGTTTGGGAATTGTTAGAAAATTCGCACTGAGGCCTTAGATAGGCAGTACTGTATAAAGACCCTGTATAGGTTTAATGTAAAACAAGTAAGAAATTATAGTCGGGCGAGGCCGACCATATAATACCCTACACCTTTGACAAAAATATAATGTGATTTATTTGCCATAATAAAGCATTTAAATTGAATTGTACATTGCCTCAGATATACATACTTAAGCCGTTTATTGTTGAATAAAATTGTGGACATTTAAGTGAAATTTTGATGGGGGCTTTTTATAGGGGCTAGGGTCATATGAGGACCTATTACATATTATGGAATTCGTGAGGGTCATCAAATCTTGTATAGAACTTGGTTTTTGCAGCTTTTTGTCGAGATATGAGTATATTAAACATAATTATGAACTTAAAAGCCCTATTCGGCGGGTTCAGTTGTATGGGGGCTAGGTGAAATAATTGACCGATGTAAACCATTTTCAACAGGCTTCGTTTACGGTACCATAAAAGATCATGTGCCAAATTTCATTGAATTATCTCCAAAATTGCGACCTGTAGTTTGATTAGAAAGTTTAAAAGCCCTATTGGGGGGTTCAGTTGTATGGGGGCTAGGTGAAATAATGGACCGATGTAAACCATTTTCAACAGGCTTCGTTTACGGTACCATAAAAGATCATGTGCCAAATTTCATTGAATTATCTCCAAAATTGCGACCTGTAGTTTGATTAGAAAGTTTAAAAGCCCTATTCGGGGGGTTCAGTCGTATGGAGGCTAGGTGAAATAATGGACCGATGTTAACCATTTTCAATAGACTTCGTCTACGGTACCATAAAAGATCATATGCCAAATGTCATTGAATTATCTCCAAAATTGCGACTTGTAGTTTGATTACAAGGTTTACAAGCCCTTTTTTGGGGTTCAGTTGTATGGGGGCTAGGTGAAATAATGGAGCGATCTTAACCATTTTCAATAGACTTCGTCCCTGGGACAATAGAAGATCATGTACCAAATTTCATTGAATTATCTTAAAAATTGCGACCTGTAGTTTGATTACAAGGTTTACATGGACGGACGGACGGACAGACAGCTAAATCGACTCAGAAAATGATTCTGAGCCGATTGGTATACTTTAAGGTGGGTATAGGACCAATATTATTGTGCGTTACAAACATCAGCACAAACCCAATATACCCTCCCCACTGAAGTGGTGTAGGGTATAAATATCAATGTATATAGGTACATATTTAACAAATAATTACAACTGCAGCAAAGCCTTTTAGGAAAAAAACTTTAAAATAAGAGTGTTAGAGAATGCAAGTATGTATTACTTATTTACAAAAAACTATAATTAAATCTAATGGAAAAATTCTCTAAAAACACCACGAAAACCCTAAATTGTAACGTAACTTGAAATAACTCAACAAAAATTTATTAACAATTCTATTCTCTACTCTCAAGTGTAATCACAAAAAACGTAACCATTATTAAACAAAGTAAAGTGAGTGGTAGGTAATTTGAACATTTTTTTCCATTTTCATTTTTTGCAAGTAATGTTTAACAAGGTCGAAAAAGGTCATTAATTCAAATAATATAAAAAATATCAAATTATATTAAACCTTATCAAAATGCTTCAGATTGTTGTAAAAAAGTAAAAACAACCAACAAATAAATTAATTTGTTTATTAAACCCAAAAAGCGAAATGTTCTATCATATTAAATATTCCAGCAAACACGTGGTTTGAGGTTTTACTGCAAAAAAACACATTGAAAATATTTTAAATTTGTAAAAAAAATATATAAAATTTTTGCACTAAATTTCAATGCCATTAGGTGTAAACTGAAGGTTAAACAACTTTTTCTATCTCCACAATATTAAAAACACTTTTACATTATTTAATTAACATTTACTTATTTACACTTTTTATAACCTTTAATAAAAACACACAGCCATACATACAAATGTATAACAGCACTAGAAGAGTGTGTTTAATGGGGAGAAAAAAAAACACACATTCTAAACTCACCCAGATTTGGAGGCTTGCGTGGAGGTTATAGAATGGATACGCAAACGATGGGCAATATCTTTCAATTCTTGAACAGCTTTAGCTTCTGGCTTGTGATAAGACATGATGGTGTTGTTTTGATTTGAAGAGTTTTAACACTTTAATAAAATTGTCAATTTAATTTATTATTGTTCAGAAATAAACGTGTGCACTTTGTACTGTTAGATGTTTTATTTCCTTGGTGTTTTCTTAACTCTTTCCTGAGCTGTTTCGTTGTTTAGCAGCCGGCTTTCGAAATCAAACTGACAATTTAATTTTTTTTAATACAACGTTAATAAATGACCAAAGTATATTAATAAAGTAGCGACATCTCTTGTTGTACAACAACATCTACAACAACCACATGTATTTTGTTTTTGGAAAATTTAAGATTGTGTCAAAATAAAATTTCCTTGAAAAACAATGTGAACAAAACATAAATAAAAAATATTACTTTTAAGCTAAAGATATTAACGATTTAATTATATTATTATATATTATACAATTTATTACACTTTTAAACTACTTTAAAAGCACTTTTAATTCACTTTTTAATCTTTTCACAATTTTTACAAATAGCAAAACACAATTTAAAAATGGCGACGTAAACAATGTTAACAATTTTCAAAACAAACTTTGACAATTTGCTTCATTTATCTAGTTTAAAAAAAATAGTCAGCTGTTCAAGTGATGCTACTTTATTAATTTACTTTGTAAATGACTAGTGGCGGTAGAGTTGCCACTTTCCATTTATAAATACTTGTCTCAGGGATGGAAGCGTTATTATAACTTTGATTTTATTATGCAGTCAGTGTGACCAGGTCTCAAAAAACGTTGCGGCTAAATCCCATCCAAAATAATGCTAGAAAAAATGCTAAATTGATTTTAAAATGCCAAAAAAAATGCTAATATTTTTTAAGTGTTTTTATGAACAATTCATATTAATTTGTAACTGAAATTCATTGTAATTTATATCAAGTAAGAAAGTATATTCTGCCGTGGTTGACCATATGAGTGTAAAATTTGATTTATTTTTCGTAATAAAGCATTTATGTTGAATTGAACCTTGGTTCCGATATATTTAAACTAATTTTCTGAGAAAGGCTTTATACATTTGTATATGTATGGGGGCTAGGTAAAATAAAGGACGGACTTTAAACATTTTTAAAATGTTTTGTCATTGGATCAAAAAGCATACGTGCTTATTGTTTTGAAAATTTCAACCTCTACCAGACGGTCAGGCATAATCGATTCAGAAAATGATTCTTAACCGATTAGTATACTCAAACGTAGTATAGTAGAGTAGAGTAAAAAATTAAGTTCAGTGGTATTAAGATAAACAGAAATGCTAAAAATTATTTAAAAATTTTTGTAAATTTAGCAATATGTAATGTCTCTAACTTTAAAATATTTCTGAATGCAAAAATTACATTAAAACTCTATTAATTACACTAGCTGCTCATGGTATAAAACCTATATGTGTTTTCGGAAGGAAAAGTATAATATTTCTAGTTTTACTTTTTTTATATAAACAATTTTATTTGTCTTCCTCAAAACACTTTAAAAATGGTTTTCATGTCACAAAAATATAGAAAATTCCGTTGAAATAATTTTAAATCTCGGTGAATAGATGTCAGGTTTATAACTCATACTTCCAAGATTTTTTTCGGAAAAATATGTATGAGAATGTATGAAATGAATTGAGAGATATATTCAAATCCGTAAGTTTGTAATTCTGGAATAAATTGTCAATAATATTTTCGAAATTTATGTATTTTTTTTAATTAAAAAAAAACGTGACAACAAAATTACTAAAAATTTGGTAAAAATAAAAAGAACAGAAAGTAGGATGATTATATATTATTGATTTTTTCAATACTTATTTTATAATGATGATAAAAATTAAAACCTCTTTATTTCGTATAGGAAAAAATAAAATTTGTTAATTAACCGTCATCATAGTCTTTTCCAAAATTATATGTTTCATTCCATGAGCAAACAAAATGTATTAGTTTGTAAAATAGCATACTGAAAGTATTTGTAAAAATATATGAAATCTCTTGAATTATCTCTATCACCTCGAATTTAAAAAAGCATTGGATTCCAGAAAAATATTTTAGAATACAACATTTTAAAGTATTCACTTGTATTGGCGTAATTTTAAGTTATTTATCTTCATGAATCTTTTTGCATTATTTGGAATTACAGTGTAAATTATTACATTTCTCATATTTCTTGTTGCTTGTGTTTGGGTAGACATTTAATTCTGATTTTTTCCGGTTAAACCTATTTCCAATATAAATCTTTTTTGCAAAAATTTGTCTTTTTTTTGTTTATATACTATAATTGCTAAAAAAAGCTAAAAATGCTAAAAATATTTTATAAAAATGCTAAATAAAATGCCAAATGCTAAATTAAAATTTTACAGCTAAATCAAAATAAAATGCTAAATCTAGCTGCAAAAATGCCAAAATGGTCACACTGTATGCAGTAGATAAAAAGAGTATTAATAATATAGTAAAACTATTTATTATATTTAAATTTTATTTTAGATAAAAGTAAAATTAAAATTACCTATTAATACCCATTTTCACCACATTCAGTTATCGTTTAATCGGCATTTATTATTCCAGTTAAAATAATTTTTGTATAATGTATGTAAAGTTAAAAAATAACTAGACACTGTGAAAGTGGGTGTAAATAGTTTTGATTAATTTCCAATTAAAATAATTTTTGCATAAAAAATGTCAATATATACCTGGTAAATTTAAAAAATAACTAGACATTGTGAAAATGGGTGTAAATAGTTTTGATTTATTTTCAGTTCAATAATTGAAGCATGGAGCCGAATAAGGGCGTATAAACCATTTGGGAAATTTTACAGGAGACGATAAAAACATCATAAAACTTTAAAATCGGCATTTTTTCCTACTTTTTTCACATATATGCATAAATATAACTCACATCTATCCCTGTGCTAAAACTCAGTAAAAAATTCGAGTCACAACTTGCCAAAATTAATACTTGAAATTTTGCTAAAATGGAATAAGGGCATATATCCATATATTTTAGTTGAAAGTATATATAATAATTTTTTAAAATATAACTATAGTTATGGATATACGCCCTTCTTCTTGTCCACACTTTCATACTTAAATAACTCATTCAATAATAATCTTTTTTGCAATATAATTAAAAAATTAATAAATTTGAAATGTTTTCCAACCATTCTGCAAATTTGGTGCAATTAGAATTAAAATTTATACGATTTTTTACAGAAAAATACATTAAATTGCTAATATTTTTTACCCAAAAAAAATAAATAGTATTTAAAAATCGTGCTTTTTAAAACTAACTATCTATTTTAGCGAAAAATTTATATTTTTCAATTTATTTTTTTATGAATAGATGTAAAAAGGTTAGTTTAATATAATTATGCGAAAAAAGCGATTTTGAAAAGGTGGTCTTTACGCCCTTATTCGCATCCATGCTTCAATTGTTTTCCTATTAACATATTATGTCTTATCCATCTCTGTTATATTCGATAGCGATTACAAAATCATTTAAAGTTATCGACAAGTGCTGCCAGTATACATTATTTTATTTTTATTCCCTTAATTTTTCATTTCCCGAGAAATTGGATTTTTTTTTTAATATCCACAGACCTGGGATATTTCCGCTTAGAACAAAAATAAATATTTTATCTGTCTAATTAGATTTTATTTCAAATCGACATCAATGATAATTATTTTTTAAAATAAACAAAATATAGTATAGAATAGTTTTATTTATAATTCATTATGTAGGAATGGCAGTTTTGAAAATAAATCCCACAGACACCTAGGTGCGCCGTTGTAAATATTCAAAGTAGGTAATCTTTGACATTTTATGTACCAATGTACAATATTTAATAGCGATGTTAATGAAAACAATTTTATATACACTGGTTCCCCGGCCAAATAAATGTTTATTGTGATAGTTCAAATATTGTATGGACCAAATACAAAAGTTTATGAAAAGTCACTTTATTTTGTTGGGCAATAAAAACTTTACATTGTAAAGGAACTTTAACAATGTTATAGCATGGGTCAAAAACTTAATAAAATTCTTTAAAAATGTAATTTTCTTCATTATATTTCCTTATTTATACCAGTTATTAGGGGCATGGAATAAAATGTATATATCTGGCAACAACGGATTAAATGATTCTATAGTATTATTCAAATTAGGGGATTTCACAAGAAAATTAACTGCGCTGTACCGATGATATTTTTTACTAAGATAATATAAAATTATACAACATAAAGAGAAATAATTCGCTTTATTTAATAAATAAATTATGTTTACTGCAATATAACGAAAGCAATATTAATATAAATAAAAATAAAGGTTACGCATTTAAATGAAATCCGTTAAAAGTAATATAATTATTCTATCTTTAAAACTAAAATATGTGAATAACATATGTATACCTGTGTTTAAATATAGAAATTTATTATGTTGGACAATATTAAAGATGACATATAATATATATGAACTTCTGTAAGTACACTATTTGTAGATTTAATACATTTTTGTCTCACTAAATTTCAAATTATTTTTTTCAAGGTTTCAAGGCGGAATATACCCTACGCCATTTGTGAGTAAATATATTTTTTATTTTTTTATTGAATTTTTAAATAAATTTTATTGAATTTTACCTCAATTCAAAAAAAAATATCTGAATAAGTCATTATATGAAGCCTACGGAGAAAAATAGACCTCATAAAATTTGTAAACGTTTATATAACAGTGAATGTGATTACTAAATTTGATTGTCATTTGTTTATAATCAAATTATGGTCGTTAAAATCAATTTCTATAGGTGACTATTTGGTCAAATGGTTTTCGAATAGTTCGAATAGTTGATATTTGAAAAAAACCGGTTGATATTTTTCAAATTCAGAAAAATCGGGTTTTTATTTTAAAAAAATCTATTTTAATTTGAAAATATTAAGGTTTATGTTTAAATTCGATTAATAAAACATAGCCCGAACTGATTTTTAACAGTTTAAAAGATTATAACTTTAGATCTAGTCTTCTGATTTACATTATTTCTTTAATGTAAAAAATTAGGAAAAATGTGGTACACTTCTATTAATAAACATAAGCTTATTCTAAATCCCTGTTTAGGCAATTTTCAAAGGCATTCCAACACTTCCAAAATATTTCAGCCGCAAACTAATTATTGTAATTGGAATATAATCTTAAGATTGATTAAAATTTTATCTAACAGTTATTCCAATCAATTTTACAAATAAATTTTTTTAATTAATTAGGAAAATCAAAAAGTTTAGCCAAAGGTGCTTTAGAAAAATATACTCTAGTTCCTGGACTCGTATATTTTAAAAATTTAGACGGGTAATCTTTAAATACAAAGCAAATAAAAATATTCGAAACCTGTTTTTAAAAAGTGAAAAACCGGGATATTCGATATTCGAAAAATCAACATTTAGAAAAAACCGACACTGGAAAAGCAGAAAAAACACGGTTTTAAAGCCGAGTCCATCACCCTAATACATACATACATATCGTCACCTGAAACGCAAACGGCCCTAACAAACCAAAAATTCAAAATCGATTTTATTGTTAATTCTAATGTATTGCATCAAAACAAATGTCCACACAAAAAATTGGACTCCGACCAAAATTTGCGATTTAATTGACAACAAGTAATAGTGCTATATTCGGCTGAGCCGAATCTTAAATACCCTCCACCACTACTTTTATATTAATACTTTGTTAATTGATCAAATATTTGTAGAAAGAAGTTTTCAATATTTGGTAATGAGTTATGTGCGTTTAAGTGATTTTCGGGAGGGAACCTTGTATGGGAGCTATGATAAAATATGGACCGATCGGAAAAAAATTTCAGAGTAACAGTTCTGTATATAAGAGCAATACAATACCTAATTTTATATGGATATCTTAAATTAGTAATGAATATCTTTAT